TCCGCCTCCCGTGGCTCCTGTTATTCATGGCCCATAATGCTCAGCCTCATCTGCAGGGAGCTGATTGTCATTATCTCTTTTAATCACTATAACTCTGTATCATCCGTACCTTCGTCATTTGGGCTCTCCTCGTTTTCCACCTGTGTTTGCTGTGAGTTCCAGAAAGTTGGAAGCATTTTTGTTTTTTATATGTATATTTTTATGCAAAGTTCTTAAATAAGTTGCTCAATCTGTGCACCTTAGAAACAAAATGCTCTTTAAATAAAGCTAAAATATTATGAATTAATTCATTGCTTCCAATTTGTTTTGACTTTTATTTTTAGTTCTGACCATATATAACTAACATTTATACATTTTCTCAACTTTAACCCTTTAAATGACAGCTTTGTTGAAAAAAGTCTCTTCAGTGAAAAAAAATTTCCCTATCTTATCCTTATCCAATAGAAATAATTTTTTTTTCGTAATTTTGGCGGCTATTGGGATTCAAATGAATTTATGTACAAAGTTTGTAAATGAATTTCTCCTTTACACATTAAACATTTTAAAGATTGTCATAGAAATATCGTGCATTTATTTGCATCTATTTTTTTAAGAATACTTTAACTTCAGTCCTTCCCGTCCATAAATACTCACAAATTAAAAATGATTGTTTAATAGTGGATTCTATTTTTTGAACCTGAAAGAGTCGAAAAATTGCAGCAACTTTAATTCCCTTTTCTTGTGCCAACTTATTGAAACATTATGAAAAAGTTTTTTTTTTTAAATCCCTAAAAGACACAGATAGTTCTGAGTTTAAAAGGCAAAGTTTACAATCCATATAAAAAATATAAAGAAAGAGAACAGAAAATCTCACCAAATTTTAATTCATTTACATAACTGACATACATTTCACAAACTAAGTACATATAAATAGAAAAGTCCAGAAGTCCTGGAGGGTTAAGCAAATGTATATATCTGCATAATATGATGCTGCAGTGAAGCGACGTGGCTGGAAACAGGCCGTCTGTTTTTGTTATGCAGCAGCATGATTAATGGCAGATTAAACTTTGATGACTAATGTAGGATCACCGTAAAACATAAAATGGTGACAAATCATTCAAGTCACGTAAGTCTAAATAAAAACAGTCTTTTATGTTGATGTGATCCCATTGAGTTATACTGTACTTGTCTGCACACACACACACATCAGCAGCTAATGGGTTAAATACGGTCTAAATGCTTCACAACACAAAGCTTTACGTTTCCATGACACAGATCAAAGGCCTAAGGCAGGGGTGCCCAAAGTCGGTCCCCGAGGGCCGGCATCCTGCACGTTTTAGTTTTCTCCCTGGTTGTAGTAACAACCTGTTCAGCATGTCAATGTTCTTCTTAGGCCTCTAATGAGCCATCATTTGAACCAGGTGTGTTAAACCAGGGAGAGAGCTAAAACATGCAGGATGCCGGACCGACTTTGGGCACCCCTGGTCTAAGGGTTCAAAAGTTTTCAGAATAAAACTCTGAAAAGTGTGGCATGTGTTTGTATTCAGTCCCCTTCACTCTGACACCCCTAAATAAAACCATGTGCATCTAAAGCTCCTTCTCCGTTCCCAAGTCTGACTCCAGCTGGTTTAGGTCGGGTCCGGTTCTGAGTTTTGTGTGTCTCAACCGGCGCTGTGCTGCTCGCTCTGCGGAGCGTAAATACGGGCGTGAACGAGCTCGACACGCCAGTGATGTCATTTTGTGCTAGGCTGCCAGTTCCTCTGAAATCTCTCTATATATTTGTTCACTGAGAGTTTCCCCGTCCAGTTAACGCTTTCTGAACTGCAATTAGACCAGAACTGAAAACAACATGTCTGGACCTCAAGGTTCGATCATGGAACTATTGATTTGTCTTGTGTTGGATTCCGTGGGCCGATCAACGAAGGCGGTCTGCAGCCAATCAAATCGCTTACATGCAAGAACTGGCGAGTTCTGACATGTATGAAAAAAAGAAAGGGAGGAAGAAGGAGAGAAGCAAAGAAATGTCTAGAAACAAAAATAATAATGAAAAGTCAACACATGAAACTTCATTTCCAAAGACGTCGAATGACAGAAGAAGCAGACTACCACAAAATAAAATAAACATCTGACTTGTGAATGCAGACAGCCTCATCAGAAGCTAAAACGATTTACCAATCAAGCTGCACCATCAGTCAGCATCCTCAGTCTCTCAGAAAAATATCAATACTTTAATTTACATTCATCAATATCTGCTGACACAAACTCTGTTATATGATTTAGTCATCACAACTTTTTGTTGTTTTTTTTTTGCAACATTCGGTTTTAAGAATGCATTTCTTCCCTTTTTTTTTATAGTTTCTATGCAAATTGTGAAAATCTGGACTTCGGGATGCTTTTATTTTACTCAGGTTGTTAAATTGTATTCATGATTTGTTGGAGTTTCTAAAACAGAAAAAATTTAGTATTTCATCTGAATTGGAAAATGCTTAACGAGGCGTCCGAATCGCCTCCAAATGAGCTTTTCAGCTTCTGAAATTATAATTCAAATGAGATTGAGACAGAAATAACTTTCATAAACACTGGTACGAGCAGGACGCCGGGTCAACAGATCAATCGAAGACCACCTTGCATGCAACAACAACAGAAGAAATCATCTAGAGCTCAGACAGCAATCTCAGTAAGCGCTGAGATTGCTCTTAAAGCTGCAGGAGAAGGAGTGCTGGGCGCAGATGTTCACGCCGATGAGAAACCTTCAGCATACGAAGCAATAAGACGGATCCAGGCGCCGGACGCTTGGTGTGAACACAGCCCTAATTCTCACAATATGAAACCAGAGCAGGGAAAGTGTTTCCATTAAACCGCTGCGGATGCCTTGAGAGCAAAAACATTTCGGCTCCGAATCTCAAAGAGCAATAAAACCTCCCTCCATCCCCGACGAACACAAACCAGCCCTCCAAATCCCTTTAAAACCCATTTAGGGGCTCAGTTTGATATAATTACATTAATTTATGTAAAGCTACTCATCAAACCCGAGGGCTTGATCTTCTTCAATGCGCGCACATCAACCAGCGCGCAGATAAGCACAAAGAGCCCGACACAAACACTCGAGCTGCTGCTCGAGACCCAATTATTTATCTTCTCAAGCAGATAAGAAAAGAGGAAGTGGGAGAGGATCCACCTGAGACTTCCTCTGGCTCCGACCTGACACCGTCGCACTGACGGCGTTCAACAGGAAAACATCCGGAATAAAGTAAATACATCAGTGACGCAGTCAGTAAGACTGCCAGGGAAAATCGGCGTCTCTCTGCACCAGACGACAGATCCATTTGCATTTAAGGTGTTTCAGTGTTGCCAAAACTTTTTCCGGGGCGTGAAATTTTTCTGTCAACTCAAGGCGTCCCACAAGTCAGCCACAGATGTACAATAAGCGTTTAGGTGTCATACGAGCGGCCCAGAGTGGAGTCGCCCGGCTGACAGATCGGCTCTCTACTGCGTTTATATGCAAAGCAGAGGCCGTCTGAAAAGCAGAGGTAATGATTTTTACTGTCACCGCTTCGCGCCGAGTGTAACATCAGATCAGGATGAAAGACAGGTTTGTTCTGGAGGACAGGGAAACTCAGAAACAGGGGAGAAGTAATCAGATTTTTCTGAATGTGATGAGAAGCACAATGTCACAGGACGCAGAGAAAACTAGAGGAGTCTGGGCTGCACTTGATTTGATTTTTTTTTTTTTTAAGTTTGCTTTCTGCATGCATACAAATGCAAAGGCATTTGTAAAAAAAAAAAATAGACCACTACCCTTCACAATTATGATGCACTTTGTTTTCATATGTCACAGCAAATGTCAATAAAACACATTAAAATTTGTGATTGTGAGGCATGAGCTTCATCTTTCCAAGTTAGTTTTCCTGGATTTGGTTGACGTTTCATTTCACTTTTCTGGCTCCGAACTCAAAAACTACAAATTCAGACCACACATTTTCACACCTTCTTAATGCTTTTAAAGTTTTTGTTTTTTGGCATTTTTCCCTCTTTCCTTCAGTCCAGTCTCTGTACCTGACCATTGCAGACTATTGTGTGGAGAGTTCTTAGAAATAATCTGGGAAAGTTGACAGAAAAATCCCAAAAAGCCCTGAAAATATATGAGCGTGATATTTTAAAGAGAGAGTAAAGATCAGGACACTGGAGACGCAGACGCTCTGTGATAATCCCTCTGGTGGGACTGAAATCTTATTTTATGTCATCAAACATAAAATACAAGTTTAACTAAAGAATTAGTTACAACTAGGCCTGTCAAAATAAAATAAAAAATCAATCAATTAATTGCATGCTAAACTAAAACAAACTCAATCATTTTCATTTTCTTGATTTGTCGTTTTTCTTTTTTCTCTCTTTCTACCAAAACTGGTCTTCAGTCTGGTGCTTTCGTCTCAACTATCCCTTTTTTTTAAAGGCAATTTTGCCTACAGAGACTGCAGAATTCATTTTATTTGTCGTTTCTGTTGTTTTATTTATTTATTTATTTTGGATATTTAAAATGTCTTCCATTTCCAATGTTTAAATGTTCATCAGAATAAAGTTTTCTGATCTTTAAGAATGTGTCCTTCCATTATTACTACTATATCATGTGAAAATTGTCTCAAAATTACAATAATATTGTTTATCTCAATAAGTTCTGGGACAATTTATTGTCTGGCAAAACGATTTTTTTTTTTTGATTCTTAAATTAGTTGACGATTAATCATTTCAGTCCTAATTTGAACAGAAAGCTCGGGTCGATCAGTACGTTGGGGTTAGTTTGTGATGAAGTGTGGCGATGTAGGAGCAGCTGATCGATCACCGATGAACAAGATCTGAGCTGCCGCCCCGATAAGAGCGAGCCGCCGCTTCCCTCGAAACCGACGACTGCTATTCATTTGACGTATTGACGCATTGAATCTCAGCCTCACGTCTCAGGCTAATCTCCAGGCTGTGGACTGAGATAAGAGGGAGCTGCAGGCGGAGAGAAGTGGAGAAAGGTGGAGCAGACGGGGCCCTCTACCTGAAAGTCAAGTGGTTGACTTTAAACTGGGTCTCTATCACGCCCGTCGTCCTCAGCCGCACTCGGAGGACGTCCATCTCTGTGGGCACGTAGTCTGCAGACGTGAGGCGGCTCATGTTCTCAAAGAAACTGAGCAGAGAGAGAAGAAGAAGAAGAGGAAAACAGGTTAAAAAGAACGGAGGGCGACGAGGAAAACAACTTGCAGTCAAACTGGAGATCAAACGAGGAATCAGTCATCGGCGCATTGTGTTTGTCCTGGTCGTGTCGGCTGCCAGTTAGTGGGTTGGGTGTGGATGATAAGGCGGGAACCCCCCCGGCAGGCTCATCACGATGAATATTCAGAGTCGTTTATCATAATAAACACACTCAGGCTAAGCTTCCAAACACTGATTAGCTGCTGCTAACAACACAGCCGGCGTGATCGAGTGTATCATGAGCGTGCACACACACTCGGTAAGATCTGGTCTTTTTACACACACGCACGCACACACACACACACAGAGGCATCTCCACCTATGTGAACGGACTGTGACATTCTCAGCTAGTCATCCTGAATCAGTTTCTTGGGCAAAGACAGACGTCCTGCTGCTTTAAAAGGGAAAAAAGAAAAGACACTCAAGTTTGTTTGCTACTTCTGTTGATCTGAGAATCACTTCGGGTGTCAGAGAGATGTTTAGTTTATTAAAGATGTTTAGTTTGTTAAAGATGCTTAGTTTGTTAAAGATGTTCAGTTTATTAAAAATGTTCAGTTTATTAAAGATGTTTAGTTTGTTAGAGATGTTTAGGCTCAGCATTGCTTATTTATTTTAATCTTTTCAAATGCTGGCATTTTTTAAGACTTTATAGCTGGTGTTCAGATATTAATCTTCCAAATTTATAACGCATAATTATCAAGTGATATTTTAAAATTTCCTGTCAACTTTAAACACTTTTTAACTCAAAAACACGGCGGGCTGCTGGATGAATGACTGCCCCAGCGCCCAACCACCGGGCTTAGCAAGTTTTCTGGGGGAAACCTTGTATATTTACTGTTGGCCCTAATAATTCGTCCTGTTTAAATATTATTCTGCCTAATGATTCATGAAATGTCCTATATTATCCTTCTCACTTTTCCAGATTTGGGAAATCTTGAAATCAAAATCTATGCTGTCCAGGGTTTTCCAAGACTCCAGAGGATTTACCTACAAACACACACCAAGTTTCAGACCAGAGTCCAGAGACGGACGTGTCAGCAAGGATCCTCACACACACACACAGAGTGTGTGTGTGTGTGTGTGTGTGTGTGTGTGTGTGTGTGTGTGTGTGTGTGTGTGTGTGTGTGTGTGTGTGTGTGTGTGTGTGTGTGTGTGTGTGTAAGGTGATGGATGGTGGTTCTCAGTGGGAGCCAAGGGGCCTGTCGGTGTGGATAACCCCAGAAGCGAGGCCTCTAACTGGGGCAGAGGATGAGAACAGACGGCCTCCTGGTGCTCCTCAGCACTTAGCTGCCACCGAATCACAAACACACACACACATCAACACACACACCGTTTCCTCTACAATTATATTTCGCTTTCACCTATTACCTATTCCTGTTTATATCAACACATACAGATTCTATGGCTGCTCACTTCAGTAAATAACGTAGAAAAAGATGCATCATTTAGTGTCCACTTCACAACTATTGTTGGTCTAATCCAGGCTGGTACAGAGATCTGCAACATGCAGGAGTTCTTCTCTGACTCTGTCACTTTGGCCAGAAATGACAGAAAAATCAGTTTCTTTTTGGAAAAAAAAAAAAAAAAGTAAAAGGTTTTAGCTGTGTTTGTATTGCTTTTCATGCAATATCAGCACGGAATGGCGCAAAACCTTTAAAAAGGCTGCAAACCAAAGGAGTATTTATTATCTGAATTGAAAAATATGTGTTTTTTGTGCAATTTTGGTTGAATTACTGCTCTGAGTGTGTTGTTCTTTCAGCAAATTGCATTTTTTTAGTTTGTATACTCCAGTTATCCTTAATCAACTACTAAATTAGTTGACGATTTTTCAATTAATCATGTTAATCACATTAATCGTTTTAGCCCTACACATATGGCACATTTTTTCAGATATTTATTGTAAAAAAAAAAAAAGGAACTATGTATCATTTCCCTTTCTTTTACCCACTTATGCTTTATCTCACTAAAACACAAGACAGTTGAATTTTTTGTTTGTTTGTTTGTTTTGTTTTGTGTTAAAAAGATCTCTAAAATCCAAAACACTTCTGCGGTATTTGATCCCACTTAAATTAAGTGGCATCAATTAAAGTCGCTTCACTCCCATGCATTCAAAAACCGAGAGCCGGGCTCTCCAGATGCTGACTTCAAGTGACAGCCAGCATCAGCTCCTCTGCTCCGCTAATTAGACCCCCGCTTCTCCTCCGCTCAGCGTGAGAAAATTACTCACTACAGCGCCGAGTCGTTCAGCTCGAACTCGTAGCCGCGGGCGGCCGCAGCCCTCACCCCCTGGTCGGCCCACAGACAGGACAGGGCGTGGCTCAGGAAGGGGAGCAGCACCTGCTCCTCGTCGAAACACCGCCCACACGACAGGACCGAATGGGCGTGGACCTGCGGAGTCAGCGAGACAAGGAGACACGGAGGCCAGGTGGATTATTGAAGAGGTAAAACACTGTGGAGTTTATGAGTCTGCCTCCACTTTTTAGACTCGGTAATCACTAAAGATGCTGAAATGAATGACAGAGACGCAGACACGCCCTCTGCGACATTTATTAGAGGAATTACGCAGGCCATCATCTCCCAGCAGGATGTGCGGGGTGGGTGGTGACAGGAGGAGCTTCGACAACTCAAGTGGCAAAGTTCAAATCAAATCAAACCTCGCACTCTCACCACCCACCCGCCTCCACGGTTTCAGCTGTTTTCCGGGCTGATTGAGTGTCGAAATGCCGCCCTCTGGTGGCAGACTCTGTACAGTGCAGGCACGACTCAAAACTAGGCTATTCAAACCATGTTCGTTGCATTTCTTTTTGCACAGAATCATTCTTTGATAATTAAATTTTATTCTGCTCAGTTCTACCTATTTTGAGCTCCTTTCAGAATGAGCTGGTTTTAGGGAGTCCTGCCACTTTAAATCCAAATAAGCTGCTGCCAGCCACGCCCTCCACTCACATGTGAAAATGGCTGCAAACAGATGAGCAACTATTCAACCGTACAACTTTGAAAAGCAGAAGAGGAGCCTCCTGTACAACTAACAAGAATGCAGCAAGTGGTTTCTGGATGGTAAGTCACTGTTGGTACACTTGTCTTTTCCAGCTGACCAAATGTGCTGGAGCTCAGCTTAGGTTGCTAGGTATCGGAGCAGTGCCCATTGATTGCGACTCAACAATCTGGAGGTTTTTGAAGAATCCAGACACCAAACAACATTAATTAATTACCACAAAATGTCTGGGTGTTTTATGTAAATCGTTTTTTTTAGATGCAGCTGAGACCCAAATGGGAGAACAAAAACGTGCAAAAAGTGCATTTTGCATAGTAGGTCCCCTTTAAATTGGAACCAAAACTACAAAACCAGACAAGGCAGGGGAATGAGAAGGAGGCTACCTTGTTCCTGCTGTTAGCCAGGTTAATCCGGAGGACGCCCATTCCATGGAGGACAAACTTCATGGAAGTCAGGAGGTTATCCAACACCGCCGCCTGCAAAACAAAATCAGTTCATCTAAAACTTAAAAAAGTTTAACTGTACTGTTTTCTTAGATAATTTTTACAGATTATATGTTTGCGGCACATTCTCTTTAAACGCATATTCAGTGTTTAATTATTTGCCACATGGTCTGTTCAGTAGTGACGACCGTACGGACAAAGACTTGGTCAGTCCAACAGTCGGCTAACTAAAGGAAGTATCCAAATTAAACATGGCTTGGAAAATTATTCCAGTATAGTTTGTTCCTGCTTCCCAACTGCAACATGCTGTTGAAAGAAAACTATAAAAAGTCACATTTCATCTCATGTTGGGGATTTCAGCACATAGGTGGAGGAAACGTGGGGACAGAACTACAAGGAAATCCTTTTAGAATTCATGTCTTATAATGGCCTAGTCAAAGTCCAATTGAGAATATGTGGCTTGATTGAAAAACTGATGCTCTTAATTTTGTAATAATGTTTATAAATCATGTCTGATTTTCCTTCCAATCAAGCATTACTTTGTGTTGATCTGTCACCTTAAATCCCTACATTTAATGTTTGTAACACTTAATGTTTTGTTTTTCTTCAAATTGCACAAAGTATTAGCAAAAACCTTTTTCCGCTAATAACACACATTGAAAGGAGACAGTGAACAAAATACGATTTTGTAGTTTTAAGAACATTAGCTGGGTTTTTATTTACCTTTGTTTGATAACAACAGTATAAAGTATCTGACGTTTCTTCCTTAAATATAATCGGAAACTGCTGATCTCACTCAAAACATTCATTTGGATGACGTGGATGTGGGTTTGGGAGTTCCTGTTTGGGATTGTGACCTCCACTGAAACTGAGCAGCAGGGCAAAACAGAAACTAAGCGGTTATTAATCACAACACAGATCTGGTTCAAAGCATGACCAGCTTTTTCCTCCTCTTCTCCTGAAGATAATCATATGTGATATGATTATATTGTATTTTAAAGGCCTTTTAAGTAATTACTGAGACCATAAGCGCGACAAAAATCTCCAGTGGGGATTCCGCGCCCCCTGTTGGACATTACATCAACTGCAGCTGAAATCTACATTTTGAACTGCTCGGTTTTCTGAGTCAAAGTTCAGCTTTTATAAACAATCTATGATCGTAAAATGACACAGGACTTTGCATTACCACAGCCTGTAGTCGTTCTGAAAAGATAAAACTTAACTGTAGAACTAAAACCAAGACATTTTGAATTAGGCTCTTAAAATAGCGTTAGATGTTTTGGCAAAAAGTGTGAATAATCATATATCGGTTATGTTAAAGAAAGCTGCAATAAGACTGATTTTAGGATAACTGAGGGATGTAACAAGATGCGGGACAAACTAGTGAAGGAGTGTGAATACTTCCTGGTGGCTCAGTAAAGATAAATTTAAAGTTCAGCCTGATCAATGTGCTTTATAAGCGTTTTATTAATCCACCCTGACATCCGCTGCGCTCTCAGTGGAACATGTGACAGGCGGGGTTGTGCGAGTGGATTGGAAACATTTTGTGGCAGAGCTGCGTTGGTTCCTGTTGAAATAAAAGCCTCTTTGTGCTTCTTTCTATCTTCCTTTGGCTTCACTGTTATCACTGTCAGAAGAAAAGAAACTAAAGATCTCCACAGAGTTGGTTTGATTAAAAATCCCTGCTTTCTTTAAAACGCTGAAATTGTTACTTTTGGGGCTATGAAGTTAAAGATGCTCAACAAATAAAGTATAAGAACTACTGCTGATGTTTAACTTTCACTGGTTTTTGTAGGATCGCTCACAGTTTGTTTTACCATTAAGAAAGAAACGCAGCAATCGTCTCTGATGTTATCGGATTCAGAGTTCTTGTCCTCGTCCCGTCTCCGTCTCTGTGGTCTATAAAAGTCCAAAACAAAAACGGTGTCTGAACTGAAGGTGAATAAAACCAGATAAAAATAGGAGAGAAGAGGGAGAAGTAACAATGCAAAGCAGGTTGTTTGATACAGCCTCGGCCTCCTTCACCGAGTGAATTCCTGAGTTTATGTAAATGTTGTAAATAGTTTCGAAAACCAAAAAAAAAAAAAGAGGAATTTCTCGCTGTTGTGTAAAACTGGCAGAAAACGACAACTTTAACAAAAGAGATTACTCAAGAAGAGACGTGTAACGGATCTACATATCAAAAACTACTGACGTTTTCAGGAACTTGGTCCAAATTACAGCATCTGTCTTTGGTAAAGATGTGTGACTCTGACCTTCGTAGTCCTTCAGGCACTTTAAAGCTTTACTTCCCGGCTGATTTCTTCAGATAATGTTTCTATTCTTGCACACAAGGTTCTTCCCTCATGACGCCATCTGTGTAAATTTAGTTACTGATGCATATTCAATTTTAGTTAAAATGATTGAGATGCTCATGTGGACGTTGTTGCCTTCTGTCGGTGAGCAAAGAGCTGATCCATCACGCTGAGCTCGGCCTGTCACAATAATCAATAAATCAATTAATCGCATGATAAATTAAAACAAACTCAATAATTTCCATTGGTGTGATTTATTGTTTATCTCTCTTTTTTCTCTCTTTCTACCAAAAACTAGATGATAAAAGTCTCCAGTTTGGTTCTGTGGTCTCAACTTGCTCTTTTTTGAAGAACAATTTTATTTACAAAGACTTCAGAATTCATTCTATTTATTTTTTTGTTAATTTATTTTGGATATTTAAAGTGTCTTCCGGTTCCAGTGTTAAATGTTCACTAGAAGTTAAAGTTTTCATTAGAATTTAAAGCTTTTAGCATGTGCTCTTGCATCATTATTTTTGCCATTACCATTATATTCCTTGAAAATGGTCTCAAAACAACAATATAATCATTTATCGCGATAAGTTCTGGAACAATTTATCGTCCAGAAAAATGTGTTATCGTTACGGACCTGTGCAGAGCCATGACTTCCTTTTACCTGCATTTATTTTCCAGCTGATCCAGCACCGCCAGGAGCCATTATGTGCTTTCCCTAATCTTTTATTAGCTCTACCTCACCTGAGAGCACAGAGTAACGTAGCACCTTCCTTTCTCTGATATTTGTGTGTATTTATTCCTGGAGGGAAGTCGTTCAGGTAGAAAAGCACATTTCTGACCTCCACTTCCTGCTGTGTTTGAAATCCCTGTGGGAACTCTGAGCGTCAGCAGAGAAGCCCTGAGCTTCATTACAGCAGCGTAATCTCTAAATCCATCCACCTACCGTGAACTATTGTTCTGCTCCAGGTTTCTGCTGGGTCTGCCTCTCTGAACACAGAAAGCGACCAGCCATTACGACCTGGATTGTGTCAGGGCATTTCCAAAGACAACACAGAGAAGAATGCGGATGAACGGGTTACCGCCTGATATTTAAATATCAACCCCAGACTGTAAAACATGTAACGCATCATGAGAATTCAGGGAGTGTTGGAGGAAGAGAAATAGCTATAGAAAAAAAATGCAATATTTACTACATTTTTCATTAAAATCTGTAAAAAAAAAAAAATTTAGCAAATTTTTATTTTCTACAGAATTAACACACTTTTTCATATTCAGCTTCTCAAAATTCTCGAGTTGTTTATGTTTATAAAACCATTAAAAATACTAAATTAAAACAAGAATTTGATGCAGGAGATGTATTATACCTGATGGGATGGAAGGAAGGAAAGAAAAGCTAAAGGAAAAAGAGAAATGAAGGTAGGACGCAAGGGAGGAAATAAGGCAAACTGAAGGAAAGAAGGATACAAGTTAGGGTGCAAAGAAGAAAGGAAGGAAGGGAAGAAGATGGAGAGGGGAAGGAAGGACACGATGAGCTAAGTAACAAAGTAGGAAAATAAAAACATTCTTTTATTTTCTTAATTTAATTTTCTCCGCTGACCCAGACTGTCTAGGAACGTCGAATTAAGCTCTTAACTCAGCAGATATTTTGGACTGAAGATTTCATAGTTGTGGTATTTTATAAGCGCTGCCAGTCTGACACAAAGGCAGAACAACAGCATGGCCTCAGGCTTCAAATAAAAGAGGGATGAAACAACAAAGAAGTCTCTCCCAACTATTCCTCTCCTCATTTCCCTTCGACGGGCCATCCGGGTCCGTGAAAGTTTTATTGCAACACAAAACACAAATTAAAGGGCAACAACAAAACAACAAGTTAAGAAGCTCGGCTGCTCGCTGTGGGATGAGACGTTCGCTGACGGAGAAAGATGCGTTTGAGTCAAACGGAGATAAAGACACAGATGAAACAATGTCCACAGAGGTCAGATAGAGAGCAGTGCGCATGTGTGTGTGTGTGTGTGCATGTGTGTGTGTTTGCTGTGGGAGGCTGGGTCGGTTCGGGAAGGGAGGGACCGGCCTGTGGGTTAGTGTCATTTTCCCATCTGAAACTAAGGGCGTCAGCGCAGAACAAAGGCAGCGCTAACTGACACCAGAGAGGACAAAGGAGCGGAGCGGCGGTGTGTTAGCGCGTGTGTGCATGCTTCCACAAGAAACATTTATTTATAAAAGTGGCTACTGAACAAACAGACGGGAAAACGGCTAGAAGAAGCTGCTGACAAATAGTCCGGTTCAGATTTGTTTAAGCGTTGTGTGAAACTCTAAACAAAACAAAAAAAATATTGAATGAAAACTTTTTAAAAACATAGCTACTATTTTTCATAAAACATATATAAAGTAGTCACTGAAATCAAAATTTGAGTTTCCTTCTTCAAGTTCTTCTTTCCCACATTTAAGTTTATAAACTGTCTTGACATTAACATCTGTATTCACAAGAGCATCGTGAAATGTTGACTCAACCAATCACAAGCCAGCATGTGTTTGAGTCAAACTGAGGTAAAAACACAGATGAAACAATGTTCACAAAGGTCAAATAAAGATTTAGGCACGTAGACGAAGCCTAAACTGGGAACCGAAACGAGGAAGAGGGCAGAAATGCACGATATAAGCATATTTATCTTCATAATATCAGTTTCCACAATATTATCAAAAAGAACTGCCTGGATCCCCAGAAACATTAGCTAATTAATATTACTCGATTCACAACTGAAAGCAGACTGACTTTAACACTGTAGATTTTAGCAATTATTTTTTTTTTTTTTTTTTTTTTTTTACCAATTTTGCTTCCGGAATCGAATTTATTGAATATAACTGCAGTTGTATGCAAGCAATAAAAAAACATGTTGTAGACTACTGTGTGTGTGAAAGAGTTAAAGGGATAAAAACTGTAAATAAACACTTTACTGTCACATCCGTCCCAATATGGAGCCTGGAAAATCTAACTTCCAAGTAAAAATAGCTTTCAAACAACATGTAGTGTTGATACGTAGGAATGGTTTTTTTTTCAGTTCGGTTTTTATGTCTTTGTGAGGAGAATAGCCTGGCTGAATTATCATTTCCCTGAAGATGGTAGTACTTGGAAACTTCAGTGAGGTGGCATTGACAACCAATGTTAACAGGAAGCAGAGGAATAACGAGGCCGGATTCCAGACGACCGAGTCCCAGAAACAAAAACAAATATTAGTGAGACCTTCCACAGATGAACCTCCCAGAGGAGGAATCAGCTGCTATGTGTTCAGCAGGTAGTTCAGTCCAGCCGTCCGCAATTAGATAACGTGTAGGAAACATTTGAAGTGGTTACTGTCTCTCCCGTCAGAGGCTTACACAATGTTAAAGTGACAAGAAACACGTCAAGCAAATTTCCAAAGGGCTGACTCACATGACGACCAGGAGCAGACGGGAGGTTCATTTTGCTAAACAACAACAACAAAACTGTGAACTGAACTCTAATCGGGTGTTTTGAGCAAAAATGTATTTTCCAAGAACTCTTAATAAATTAGAAAAGTTGCATAATTAACACAAAGATGTAACAAAACTCAGTAAACATTTTTATTAGATGTTGGCAGAAAGACTTTCTCGTTTTGCATAATGACTTTGAACGATATAAAGCGCAATATGTTCTCTACATGATGTTGACTGATCCTTTTATTTGCTTAAAAAGTTTCCAAAATGAGAAACTAAGAATGATAAGCAGAACATCCTCAAAATTAGAACCTCTTCCATATTTAAACTTTCCTGCAATTTTTTTTTTTTTTTTAAATGACCATCTTTCATTATTGACTATTGTATGATAAAGTACTCACACCCAGTGAATTCTTAACATTTTTTTAGGTTACAATCATCAAACCTAGATTTATTTATTTTATTGGGCTTTTACGAATCGCACTCCATCTCCACTATGAGCTAGAAGATGGGAATGACTGTGAGGTAATGACATAACACAAAGCTAACAGGATCTGACGTTGGTAACGAGTTGAGTTTGGTGCACAAAATGTTCCTTGTAGCACAGAATGTATTTAGAAAGCCTAAATGAGGAGTTCAGACAAGTCCAGGGAATTACCCAACACACTTAAATTACCTCCTCAGGTGAATTTCGCGATTTGGTAGCCACGCCCCTTTGGTTCCACAGTCCCAACCTCAAGGTGTGAAAGCACACACGCAATCCGCGCACACATGAGATCAAGACTCATATGATCGAAAGGGGCTGACGGCTTAGTTGAAAACAGGTGAGTTAGAAAGAAAAAAAAAAGGTAAGAGGCATGAAGAGCAGCCACTGTAAGAAAGCCAGAAATGATAAGTGAAAACAGAAAGTGCTGTGTGTGTCTGTATGTCGAACCAATTCCCTTTACCCCACCCCGTCCCAACCCCTGGAATAACAGAGGAATTTGGCTCCCACTTGCGCTCACACACGCACACACATACAAAGAAGGGAAAGCAGATGTGAACTAAAACCACTGCATACCAGCTTGAATCTGACTGTCATGACAAATCCTCCTCTCTTCTCTCCCCCCCAACAGGAAAACGAGACTTCACCTCAGCTTCCCTCCGATCTGCATCACTGTTTCCTCATTTAAACAATCATTTTTAACACCACTCTGCGCCGGCACGCTGCATCCCCTGCTTCCTCTGCTGAGCTGCAGTTCTTCCCTCAATGAAAACTACATCGTTCTACTCAAGTCATGTTTGCTTTGTAATATTTCTGTTCAGAGATTGGCTGAGGCTCTAATTTGAGTTTCAATTGGATCAAAGCCCCCCCTCTCCCAGCAGCTGCAGCATGATTAACCTCTCTTTTAAATCATTAGCTAAGCTACATAGATAAACCAGTGAACTCATGTTGGATGCTTTCAACTGACTGCATTACAAAGCGTGCTTACATAAGTAATTGGCTCTGATTAAATCATCTAATCGGTTTCATCCAGTTTTCAATAATATAGTGATTTTGAAACTCAATGCAACTTTAGGGAGATAATAACTTGGCCAAATAAATAAATCTGCACTAATGCAGTTTATCTACATTTAAATGAGGTGTTACGCATGCATGTAGGGGAAAGCGTGGGAAAAGTTTTAAAAGTCAATCATGGAGCAAACGGGTTTTTATTTTTGAAAGACTGGAGCTGTTTGTTTTACGTAGATTTGGTAGGAAAAAAAGGAACCAGCGATGTGCTAAAATGCTGACTTCACAAAACAAACAAACAAAAAAGCCAGATGGTTTCAAATGAAACTCAAATAAATGAACTTTTTAAAGATCTGCTTGACTTTGGTGAAGTACTGAGGAATTAGAGGCCCTGAGGCGGGATAGAAGTCAAAGGCTACTGTATCATAATAGTTTCATCATCTGATACATGTTTAATTTATCTTTCTTTTCACAGTGGACTCATTTTCTCACTGATAAAGCTGATACAATGTAGGTATTGGGCAGAAATCTGCTGAGTAACAAAAGAAACACAACCAAAAAAAAAAAAAGAAAGAAAAAGGCATCCAGCAACATGAAACTGTCCCACCAGCATTCTGATTTTTATCAAATCTGTCAGAAAGATCAGGGCAACCTGGCAACTCTTTGCGTCTCAAAATGTTTACTGCTTTCTGCTTTGTGAATCAGGTGAAGCTCCAGGGAAGGTGAAGTCCCTCCCCTGTGCGCTGACGGGCCCCTGTGTGTGAAAGCGGTGTGAGGTTCCCACCTTGAAGCTGCTCAGCTCTTGCTTGGTGAAGCCGTTGCTGTGGATGATTTTCATCTGTTTGACCAAAGTGCTTTTCCCGCTCTCTGCTGCTCCTGCAAGGAGGGTAGACAAGAGTTTTGACTTCCACATTCCAACCGGACACCCGGGGATTATTTAAGTAAGCGCCTCCCGGGTAAAAGTTGTTCTTGACAGTCGGTCTCACCCAGAATGAGGATTTTAACCACATTCATCTCCCGCTTTGCGTATTCGTACAGGTCTCTGTCTATCTTGGCGCTGTTTATCTTCGCCTTCTTCTCCTCCTCTGTATCTTCGGTCCCGAGGCACAGACCCATCCTGAGCGATCATCTCCTCTCCGACCCAGACGGACAGAGGAAACCTATAAAACTGCGAGCTCGTCACCCACTCCAAAAATGATAATCAGAATAAACTTCCCAGAGAATTAAAAAAACTCTGATTAAAGTTTGTTTAAAATAAAAAAAGAAAAAAAAAGGAGAAGATTTCAGGCCATCTTGCATGATTTCCAAACTCCTGCTGGCAGTTGATCGCCAAGCCTTCAGGCAAAACTGTTTTTACGCATGGCTCCGAGCGCTTTCTCCGCCTCCCAGCGCCAGATTTACTCTGCGGTTAAAAAATCCAAAAATAACAGACCCAGAGCCGAGCTGTTCCTCCGCAGGTCAGCCTCCTGCTCTGCCCAACAGAGGAAAAAGAGCCCCAGCTCTCCCACGGCTGCCCGCCGCCCAGATGGAAACCTCTCGGACCTCCCTCGGGGAAGTGACGTGGGCTCCGTTGGGTCTCACCTGAAAACTTTCAGCTCCAGCTCCGAACTTCGGCTTCCGACTAGTCGAAGTTTGCTACAGACGTGATGACGTGGTAATGAAAAGTCCACATGAAAGGGTTTCTGGCTCCGAGAACCAAACGTGTTCAAGGATTTAGTGCTCAATCACTTTTACAGCCGTCTCCGGAATGACCTCATCAGCGTCTCACATGACTGAAAGAAAAGCCATCATAATCTGCAGTTACCTTATCTGCTCCCGATCCTGGTTTCACTTTGTCTTATTCCCACGCATGTTTCACTTTAGGTCTCAGTTTGGCTTTGCTCATCACCTTGAGTGTGTTCATTTGTCCTCTGTGTAACGATGTATAAAGCTCACATTGTAAGGCTCTGGATCGGGAAAGGGTTAATTCATCCTTTCTTCCATTCCGTCTTTCATTTTTCTTTCTTTCCTTGAATGAGTTTAATCTGGGCCATGGCTTCATTAGTATTCTGAGGAGTTCATGAGGCAGCCCAGATCATCACTCCTCCTCCACCGTGTCTGACTGTTGCAATGAGGTGTGTGAGTTTGCCCGTTTTCTTACCTACATGTTGCCAAAATAGATCTTATATGCATGTGGAAATGTAATGGGACCCCATGTGTTTAACCGCTGCCTATCAGTTGCTTTATGTCAGTTGAGTATTTTGATTAAGTGTTGAACTTTATACACATTAACAGAGCATGTCAGCCTTAAGGGATGCGTCAGACATTTCACTTTTCTCAATTTTTTTTTTTTAGCAGTTTCTCGGAGCATCACCTGGTCTTGCGTACCTGGACGGCCACGCCTCAGAGGATTACACACTAAATTTTCCACACACTGTAGAATATGAGACACCTGTTGTTTGTAAATGGCCTTGTAACCCTTTTTGCAGCACCTTTGGTTTATATGAGGCCATTACTTCTTCCTCACCAGAGCATTTCTTGGAAGAGAGGAACAAGCTTGTTATCAAATACCAAAATGATGTGAGACCTGATGGCTCACGGTATCTGATGAGGACATTCCTCAGGCAGAAAAATGCTATCAAAGCACACGTTTATCCAAAACCGCTCTGTTATGGTGTGTGAAACTAAAGTGTTATGAATAGATGCCACTTAGAGAGAAAGTGGAAAGAAAGAAAAACAATTTCTAGAAACTGTGCAGCTGAATAAATAAACATTGACTGAAATCTTTCCGTTTCTTTGCACAAGCACAGTGTAAAAATGCATAAAAGGTATCGTTGTCTACACATAAAATTGATTTCGGTTACTCTTGGCTCACATCTCTCAAGTGTCAACAACAAAAAACAACATTTAAAAACGCCTAACAGTATCAAACAAAATAACGGAAAAAAGTAAAGGTTCAAACCTGATTCTAAGATGTGAACTTATGGATTCCTTATAATCAGGTCAGGGGGGTGTTGTTACAGTGCAGCTCTAATAGGTGTCCCTGCTCAGCTGACAAAACAAAACCAACCAATCAGAGAGCAGGTCAACATTTGTAGAGGAAATAAAACACCAAAAGGTCCAAAAGCTCACCGAAAACAACCTAACTGGCCAACTGGACAAAAACACCCACATACCCAGAACCCGGAGACACAGAGAGAAACCTTACTGAACCTACACTGACCTCCTGTTGGGATAGTTACTTTACAACAAACCCAGATGTGTTTTCTTTGCTTATGCTGGAATTTATTTATGCGCTGAATTTTTATTTGTGGTATCAAAGTAAATGAAGCTGAACAGACAAATGCACACTTGTCCAATTTAGATTTGTGGACAAAGAAAAACTAGAAAAATATGTTGTTTTTTTTCATACCAGTTTACAATTGTGAGCTAATTTGCACTGAAATCTGTGGTTGTATCGTAACACAACACATTAAATCACGGATGTTGGCCTTATTTGTTCATTTACTATCTAAACTTTAAATAAACAACAAAAAGGGCCACTCAAAAAAGGCAAACTCATTTTCATTTTGGGTCTTGTAAAGATTAGAAATGTCCTCCATAGGCCGGTTACGGCAGAGCGAGAACGTATCGATCATAAACTATTAAAACGTGAATAAATCTCTGCATTCGATGACTTCTTAAAGTTAAATAATACTGAACATCTTTTCACACTGATATGATTTGGCAGTGTATAGATAAAATCTACTTTGAGTTGATTGGTAAAATATTTGAGGCCAAAACTTCTATCTTCTATGAAGTGTCCCTCAACAGTCTGGAGGGCCATATAAAAAGCTTTGGCGGGCTGGATTTGACCCCCGGGCCTCGAGTTTGACACATAACGTATACCAGAGAAAACTTGGTGTCACAACAGATCACCTGTTCTGGGGTCACAGTTCGACATAAAATCCTTGCAGCGGAACTTTCTTACTTTCTGAATTCATTTCCTCAAACGCGCCACTCAAAACATGGCGTCGACCGCGACGCTCGCGCGGCCTCTTCTTTTGTTAGCGACGCTTCAATTTCTCGGCCAGTATTACGACTCAAAGGGTGAATAAATGCTTTGAAAGAAATAATGAATAAATATACAAAATGTGACATTACTAAATGTGATTTAATACCACTTTGGAAGATGACGGCGCACACTGTAAAGTCACGCTGCCGTTTGTCGTGCGAGCGCTGCCGGTGAGTTAGCTTCAGTTGTTTCGGAGCGACTGTGGCCTAATTTCTCCGCCCCAGTGAACCAGGACTATGTGCTGATCGCACAAACGTCCAGCTGCATGAATTAACACGTGACGCTTGTCACAGATTACTCGTTTTATTTGACAAAGTATAATACACACACACACACACAAAAGGTTGTTACTCAAAAGCTGCGAAAAGCGCCAACATTTTAAAAAAATACCAGGTAAGTTTATATCTCACCACGTTTCAACCATTTTGTTTTCAAGGATCACATTAAGAGAAGAAAACAACAGATAAGGTCTGAAAATGAAACTCTTTCCTTTCCTTGGATTGTCTCATAAGAACAGAAGAAAATATGTTATTTCAATCAAACAGCTGCAGAGACAGAAGTGGTTTAAACTAACAGCCCTTACAATAATTTATAGCTTCAGGATCGAGGCACTACGTTCCTCTCACACGCTCACGTTCCTCTCTACTGTCTGCACTCGCTCACACTGACACACATTCAGTCACACTTCGTGCAAATTCAGGTGGTTAAAATCCACAGATAAAAATTGACACACTATTTCACAAGTTGTTAAACAAAGCTGCGAGTTGACCCTGACAAAAACAAAGCTATAGCTAGAAATTAACGGTGATACATTACAGCGCATTAAACATTACCTTCGCTTAAAAGACCGACGTTAACAGTTCATAAGTTATGAATAAAATCCCAAACTCAACATTCTTTCACTTGTAGTGTGTGACTCAAACGGGAAAAAAAGTAAACCTAACAGAGAGAAAAGTGAAGTTTTCTTTGGAGGAGTAAAGAATTCAGCTGATACTTTTTTTTTTTTTTTTTTTGAAAACTGAGATCGTATAGAGGATCTGAAACAGGCTGGCCCTGCTGGATCATCCTCCTTAAAGCTGAGTTGTACCTGGATGCATAAACCAGATTAAAAACTGTCCAGGCGTGTTAATGTGCCACAGCTTCATCCTGCTGCGCCTCCTGCTGCTGCTGGTGTTCTCTCCTCTTCATCGCTTCGAACACCGCCATCTCCTTAGCCTCCTTTTTCTGGTTCCTGGCTTCATACTGCAGCCTGGAAGCCCAACAGATATTTAAAGATAAATCAAATAAACAGGTTAAACTGTGCTGCGTCGCTCCGGCGGTGCAGTTTGTGCGGCGCGTCACCTGTTTGCGATGATCCTCTGCACGATGTCATCGGTGGTGAGACTGTTCCCGCTGTCGATGGTTCTGAAGATCCCCCTCCTCCTCGGCTCCTAAAGGACGAACACACAACTTACTGCATCAAAGCAATCAAGAGCCAAAACCAAATGGAGACCTTCACTAAAATATCACTGCAGAAACTGGGTCTCCTGGCGCCACCTTGAGTTACAAAATAGCAATGTAATAAATGAAGCAATGTAGTGATTACAACTCCTGGGTGCTGAACAGATTGTGTGTGGCAGTACTTTTTAAACATCGTTTTTTGTTGTTGTTGTTGTACTCACAGCGTACGGGTCGACCCCGTCCTTGTCTGGGAACACCTCGGTTTTGCCGTGACAAACCAAATCCACCTGGAAAGTAACAGAAATGCAGAAAACAGCAATAAATGTAGCATCCCTAGTTTATCTAAAGCAGTGAAAGATCAGCACGATGTCATGTCAAACAGCAAAAAAAGGTGTTTAAGTAGTTTTGTTTAACACATTTTTAAAGTTACTATAAGGCGCACCTTCAATGAATGGCCTACTTTAAAACTTTTTTCATAAATAAGGCGCACCGCATTATAAGGCGCATAGAATAGACACTACAGTTAGGATTACAACCCGTCCCGTATTGAACCTGAACGAGACATGATTTGTTCTGTACTCTACAAATATGGATGTGTAATAATAAAGAAATGGTCCCCGAGTACTTTATATCGCAGGCTGCCCCAGTCATTGTTTCACTCACAGTGTTGGTGTTGCGATATTGTGCCCAACTGCTTTCTGGGTAACACGCTGCCGCCGCAGTCTCTGTCTCTCTTCCCCCCGCCCCCTCCCGGCTTTAAATGTATAGGGGCTGGTCCCTTGGTAACCCTAAATTAAGTAACCTGAAAGCTGTTCTTGTTTAGCATGGATAAATTACTTTGATTTCCATAATCTCCACTGGGGAAACATGTCTTCAAATAAAAATTGTGAAGAAACAATTTGCCTGTTAGAAGTTCCACTATATGGAAATTATCATCAATAAAACAGTCAGACAGAGGATGAATGACAAGGTTTTCAGCGCTATTAAATAAAAACCTGGTACAGTGAATGATAGTTTTTGGTGTTTTTACACTTTCTTCTTGCATTTGGGAGCAATTTGCAGCCATGTTTCGGCCAGGCTGCTATTGTTCTCTTTAGCTGAACAGATAACATAGGTGCTAATTAATCCATTAAGAGAGAGTGAGGAACTCACCTTGAAATGATCCAACAGGTCCTTGCCCACTGTATAAGGAGCGCCAATCACCACCTCTGACACATACTATACACACGCACACACACACACACACACACACACATACACGCACAGGGAAACAATTAGGGAAAACAAAATCTCCCGATACCTTTATTCTTCTATAAACGACTCTTAACCACAAAGCAAAGCTAAAACTTTTTGCTTCCTTAAATGTTAAGAAATGTTGAAGTCTCTCAAAAGACCTTTCTCAGAACTGATAGCAGAGCACAGACACCGATTGTGTAACATTGATATAACTGACACCAACACACACACACACACACTCGCGCACACAATGCAGACAGGTAACAAGGATTCATTGTTCTTGGCTGACCGCTAACTAGCAGGAATGAAGGGCACAGAGCCCGGTTCAGGCCGCGGTGCTGCGAACATGAAGAGCAGAAGAGCAGCCCACCACTCTGAGCATCAAGCAGTGTGTGTGTGTGCGCGCGCGTGCGTGTGTACGTGTGTGCGTGTGTGTGTGTCTGTTTGAATGGGAGCTCACCCGACAGGCGAGGACGCTCAGAGTCCTCTCGTGGATGTTCATGATTGGGTAGTTCTTCCCCTTGTAGCGGTTCACTTCCTGAAGATGGTGGAAGGAGTCAGTGAGTGGTTTTACATTCATATCAACTAGATGTTTAGTTTTGAGGGCAGCAGAGGTTTAAAAGTTAAACTTTCTCCCAATCCTGGACAGCAGACGACGAGTTTCCGAGTCCAAACAGGTTAACTGTGCTTTCAACTGATCTTTCTAGTGCAAAAAGAAGTAATTGGAGATTAGTGGAGTTCAGCACACCTGGTCAAAGTGCAGACCGACGATAACATAGGCCCTCTCCGCCTGCTTATAAACCATCTCCAGGAAGTCAACATGGCCGATGTCTGCAGAAGGTCAGAGGTCAAGGCAGAAACATTTCTAATCAGGAGGGAGCTCATAAAACAACACAGCCTCTTCCATTTTGCTGCTGTTTTGTTATATTTTCGTTATTTACTGGGGCAGATTCTCAAAGCAAACAGCATTAAACACATGAAGACGCTAAGACCAGCAGATGGGACCAGTAAGAGAATACCTTCTATATTTGCTACATCTCTGACCCGGATTTCGTAAAGCCAGAAATGTGACGGATTCCTTTTTTCCTCTCTTTTCATAGATGTTTAAAAATTGCCCGCAGTTCTCAGTGGATTACTTTTTTTGAGCTCAACTTAAGTAATACAAACACCACTGCTTTTTTAGAACGTGATGCTAGTTACTATAGCTGTAAATCATATTAAAAAATATATAAACAAAGGCAGACGGTATGCCATAACGCATGCAAAATGCCTGGTTCGTATGTGGGGAAACTGCCTCAGAGCAGAGTTATGCTGTACGGTTAGCAGACTTGTTCCAGGACCAGCTGTGCTGATGTACGCTGTTACAGAATTAGACAAATACTAACATTTAAGCACATTTTCTCGTGTGATAAAAGGATACGGAAAAGATCAAAAGCTCCCGCCACATAGATGATGGTGTCTCCAGGCTGTGGCTCCTTCCCTGAGGCAAACTGGATGATCTTCTGGGATGTTTGCAGGAACTGAGACACCCCCGTCCACGGACTGTGGACTGTCGCACCCTAAAAGACAACAACGGCAGAACTTAACAGAGACTCTCCACTGTCGCTGCAATGACAGAACGAAAGCCATGTGTAGTTTC